AGGGAAATTTCATTTGATATAGTCTGTATGGTATAGTCTGTGTGCCTGGCCATTTTTAGTTTGAGATGTATTAAATTGATATAGATGGTGTCTTTATTAACAGGTGCTTCCTAAGCACATTACATTCTAATTTTTCATCACAACAACCTCATTGAAGTAGTTGATATTATCCTTATTTCTCAGAGAGTGAAGTGTGGCTTGACGTTGTTAAGGGATTTGCTCAGGATCACACAGCCACTAAAACAAGGCTATCTGACTCTAATTCCAAATCCCAGGCTTTTTTTTTTTTTGCTGTACACGGGTCTCTCACTGTTGTGGCCTCTCCCGTTGCAGAGCACAGACTCCGTATGCGCAGGCTCTGCGGCCATGGCTCACGGGCCCAGCCGCTCCACGGCATGTGGGATCTTCCCGGACCGGGGCACGAACCCGTGTCCCCTGCATTGGCAGGCGGACTCTCAACGACTGGGCCACCAGGGAAACCCTATGTCAAGCTTTTAAGGTGTAATCTTTTGTGTACTCTAGAGGAAAGTCTTGTTCTCTGTTAAATGCTTAGCATTATAAGTCTTTTAAAAACAATGTTGTAAGTACCTTTGTGGCACTCCAAGAATAGCGATTACCAACTACCTAATGGGTTGATTATTCTAGATTTTAAATGATTACTTTGTCCTTATGCCTAGCTAATTTTCTCTTTTTTTTCCTGAATTCAGTACATTTAAAGTTGAAGTTTGCTGCTAAAGATGGCAGATCCAGATGTCCTCACCGAGGTTCCTGCAGCATTGAAGCGGTTAGCCAAGTATGTGATCCGGGGGTTTTATGGCATTGAGCATGCTTTGGCCTTGGACATCTTGATCCGAAACCCCTGTGTGAAAGAGGAGGACATGCTGGAGCTGCTCAAGTTTGATCGGAAGCAACTTCGATCAGTCTTGAATAATTTAAAGGGAGACAAATTCATCAAGTGCAGAATGAGGGTAGAGACTGCTGCAGATGGGAAAACCACTCGCCACAACTACTACTTTATCAATTATCGTACTCTTGTTAATGTGGTAAAATATAAATTGGACCACATGAGAAGGAGGATTGAAACTGATGAGAGAGATTCCACCAACCGGGCTTCCTTCAAATGTCCCGTCTGTAGTAGTACTTTTACAGATTTAGAAGCTAATCAGCTCTTTCATCCCATGACAGGTGAGATTGTTCCAGTTTATGAATCTTTCTTTTAAGTAACTTTTTAAAGTATGTAACCATTTTCTTAGGTTGATTCATCTAGTTTTTAAACTGATCATATATATCATCATAAAAGAGGATATATTGGTGTAAGTAAGCATACAGTCATTCTTAGTCTTAATGTCCTGTTTGACTGTCATACTACTTTTAGAAGCTGTTGCAAAGCCTTTCTTCTTTACAAGGGAGTACTTATCCATGGATTGTTCTTTTACCCATAGCCCTCTACCTCTGTTTCTACCCCCATCCCTTATTTACAACTGCAACCTAATCTAAAGGGTTGACTTTCTCTACCACTTTGAGGCTATTCTAATTTTACTAAGTTTACTTTTGAGCTCTTCATTCAACAAGTATTTGAGTACCTACTTGTGCCAGTCACTGCCAGACAGTTACAATAAATACATATTATTAGAACTTAAATGCCTTATTAGTGGAAGTGCAAAGTGCTATCAGGAGGACATAACTAGGGCATCTAATGTGGATTTGGGGAGGCCTCTCAAAGAAGCTTAAACAGTGGGGACCTAAAAGATAAGTAAAAGTTAGCCAGATGAAATAAGAGGGGCACTTTTTCCAAGTTAACAATAGATAGTTTCTTAGCCATTCATTAATGGAAGCGAATCGTCAACAGGAGTTATAAATTGCTTCATTTAATTAAATACTTTAGTTTTAAGGATTTTTCTAATCAACACAGAATCTACAAAGCATGTTTTTTCTAAAAATGCATGTCTAACATTAACATGGGACACTTTAAAGTGCTAGGTTGTATAGTTATGTTGTTATTTGTAAACTGGAAAAGAAACTATAGTTTTGGGTTTTTTTTGCGGTATGCGGGCCTCTCACTGCTGTGGCCTCTACCGTTGCGGAGCACAGGCTCCGGACACAGAGGCTCAGCGGCCATGGCTCACGGGCCCAGCCGCTCCACGGCATGTGGGATCTTCCCGGGCTGGGGCATGAACCCGTGTCCCCTGCATCGGCAGGCGGACTCTCAACCACCGCGCCACCAGGGAAGCCCCGAGACTATAGTTTTACTAGTTACTCAAGTGGATCAATTTTGTGTTAAAAATTTGTAAAAATCTATAGAAAGAATCACAGCTGTTAAGTTAGATTGTCCCTTTGTTATGGCTGAATTCAGGAGTATAGGTTACTTTTTAGTTCATCTGACTTTAAAATAACTATCTGAAAAATATAATTTAAGCTTTTACACATGAAATGTTTTATTATAAAAATGTTTTATTATAAAAAATTACAGGTTTGTGTACATGTTTAATTTTGTATATGTTATATATTGTACATTTTAAAGAATTAAAAATTTTAATGGGATATCAATTAAGATTATTCACAAAAAGAGCAGTGATGGCCTATGACTTTTTTTTCCCCCTTATTTACTGTGAAGCAGTCATCTTGGATGAAAAGTCATTTAAAGAATTCACATTTGTCTTAAATGTTTAATTTGTCTGAACCTAACTATTTACTTTGAAAGGGCTTAACTAGGAGAGGTCTTGGTTATGAGAAAATCTTAGCCATCCTGAGTATAAGAATTGCTTGAGTGTACTATAGAGGAGGGTTGTAGACTATATCTGGAGCTCTTTCAAAATAGACTAGAAAAGTTTCATGATTTTTGCTATTCACTCTAACAGATTTCTTTAAGGAGCTCTGGGTTTTAGTTTTTGATTTTCTGCAGATGTTGGTGTTACAGCGGTCGTCTCCATCACTCTTGACTGCAGTGAAGGCGTTATCTAGTCCCTCAGAGAGGGTAATCTAAAGGAATATGCTTCTACTACATTTACATATCACTTGATTCTTGTTTAATTTCCAGTCCCTCAGATAGGGTAATCGAAAGTAATATGCTTCTCCTACATTTACACATCACTTGATTCTTATTTAATTTCATGAAAATTTCTAAAAGGAAGTTATCCCACTACTTATATATCAGTATTTAGGAGTTTGATTCATGATGCTCTTCGAATTTTACCTAGGGTTTGTGTCTGAATGAAATTAGTTGTAATCAACAGGTAGCTTGTGGAAGAGATGGCCTGACCAAATATAGTCAAGATTATTTGTGTGAGGGAATTGAGATAGGGTAGGGAGCATGAAAACATATTATGAAAGAGAGCTAAAACTGAAACAGTTGTTTTGTGGCCAGTCTGAACAGAGACTGTATTCTTAATATGAGGGTTACGGTCAACATGATGGTGGAAAGAAGGGGTTCAGGAGAGCAAGAATAAGTCACTTTACATTGGTATCACTCATGGGAGGATGCCCTGATCAGCCAGCACTAATAGTCAACTTAATTGGCAGTTATGTCTCAGTGAAGCCTGAGATACCATGATTGAAAATTCTTAATTATTGGGAACCCTCTTTATGAGAATATACTTGCCTTTTGATTATAATTTGGTTTTTCATTTGGACTTTCCTGTAGAGAGAGAATATGATAATTGGGTGATATTAGACCCCCCCAACCTCCTTGTCAGTCTGGTTTTGTTTTGTTTTTCCACTATTAGTACCTTGACAACCCTCCCTTGTTCTTCTATACATTCCCTTTAGAAATCTTGGTCTTTTTCCCTCTGTTCCCTTCCTGTTTTGCTCAGTATTCATTTCTCTCCTCGTCATTTTGAAGAAGACGAGAAATAAACATTTGGTATGTGTATCAGAAGAGGAGGAGGGAAGTTTTTCTGCTGTAATATTTATTCTCTGTTTAAATTAATAGTTAAAGTTTTCATTTGAAGCCAGTGCTGTACAAAGCTGTTCTATTTCTTGGTTGCTATTGGAGATTGATGGTGTTTCTGACCAGTGATGGAGGTATCTAATGGGCTTCTATCTCCATTCCATGTCAACAGTTCTTAGGTTTATAAACTATGGTTTATATTAGCAATTGGGGGTATTCAGGAATTAGATTTGAAGCCTTCTAGGCTTTCCTTCTTCCCTGATAAAAAGTTCTTAACTCAAGTATATGGGCAACTCTGCCACTGGATAGAGAGTAGTGACTCCTACATGAGTATCCAGGAATTCTGGGCTCAGGAAATTGGGTCCAGCAAGAATTGTTTTACTGGCATTAATTCACACATAAGCCAGCAATTTTCTTACTTCAGTTTATAGCTTTTCCCTCACCCCCCTCTCTTTTTCCTGAAAATTGTAGATTCTTTCCATACTTTCCATTTAGATTTTGCCTTTGGTGTTCTGGGGTTGAACTCTCCCAATGTTTGATGCTTGATATGTATAGCTAATTTTATTTTATTTTATTTTTAACATCTTTATTGGAGTATAATTGCTTTACAATGGTGTGTTAGTTTCTGCTTTATAACAAAGTGAATCAGCTGTACGTATACATATATCCCCAAATCTCCTCCCTCTTGCATCTCCCTCCGACCCTCCCTATCCCACCCCTCTAGGTGGACACAAAGAATGGAGCTGATCCCCTGTGCTATGCTGATCCCCTGTGCTATGCGGCTGCTTCCCACTAGCTGTTTTACATTTGGTAGTGTATATATATGTCCATGCCACTCTTTCACTTCGTCCCAGCTTACCCTTCCTCCTCCCCGTGTCCTCAAGTCCATTCTCTACGTCTGTGTCTTTATTCCTGTCCTGCCCCTAGGTTCTGCAGAAGCTTTTTTTTTTTTTTGATTCCATATATATGTGTTAGCATACGGTATTTGTTTTTCTCTTTTTAACTTACTTCACTCTTTATGACAGTCTCTATGTCCATCCACCTGCTAATTTTATTAAAATGGAAGAGCCTAGCTTTTGCCCACTAGTCCCTGGTTTCAGAAACTTAATCAGGCAAAATCAGCTGTTTTATTTTCTGAAATACGGGGGTCTTATGTAATCAGAACAAAGGTAGCATGGCATGAAATCCATCAATCAGCAAAATAGCATCTTGTGGTTCATAAATGCATGTTTTAGATTTAGCATTTCTACTTTAGCAATCTCAACCACAGTGATTTCATTAATGACACTTCTGAGTTAAATTCAGCAACATGCTTCCCCAAAAGGGAGGGGGAGATTGTATTTTTTTCTTCTTTTTTTTTTCTTTGCCGTACGCTGTGGCCTCTCCCGCTGCAGAGCACAAGCCCCGAACGCGCAGGCTCAGCGGTCATAGCTCACGGGCCCAGCCGCTCTGCAGCATGTGGGATCCTCCCGGACCGGGACACGCGCCCGCGTCCCCTGCATCGGCAGGCGGACTCTCAACCACTGCGCCACCAGGGAAGCCCTGTATTTTCTTTTTAGGTGGTAAAGTTAGATGATGTGGAAATAGCTTTATATTTTCCATTTTTAATGTAAAAATTATGCAGCCATGGTGCCAGAAAAAATTTTGAAGAGAAAAAATTATGACAAAACCACTACCCTTTTACGTGTTATTTATAATTACAGTCATAGTCAAGAATAGTTTGTGATCTCTTGGTCCCTTAATGTACCAACTCTCCTGTTTCTATCTAGTGTTCTAAATATGTATTTAGGTGTGATTTTCTCCCCTGTTTTCCTTTCCACCCCTTTGGGGCACTTTGATTGTTTTTTTTTTTTTTTTTTGGTGGTATGGATATGACACTTTGAATATTTTTGTATATATAGCATTTTATTCTTGTTTTTAAAGTTTTCCCTTAAGGATTCTCAGCAGTGGGAATATTAGGTGAAAAAATATAGTTTTATACCTTCTGTAAAGGCACATAAGGCAATGTAGTTTTATTGTGGGTTGGGTAAAATTGTTAGGTGTTTGAATTAGAAATAGTTTGGGAGCCCCTATTACTGAATTCACCTAGAGACCAGGGGATCCCATTTTAAATAAACTTTGAAGTAAGTTAAATTTAAAAAAAAGGAATCTTATAAATGTTTAATACAATCTTATAAATAGGAGCTAAGAGATTATCTAGTTCAACTCATCAAATGTGTGTGGATACACACACACACATGTCTGTTATACTCTAGGTTTTGGAGGATCTTACAAAGTAATAAATAAATGTAGGGCCATA